ACTTGTCGAACACTGAATAACTTAGTGCTATGGTATTGTCATTGAGAGCAACCACTCAAATGCTATGGACTTCTTCCGCAACACCATAGACAAATGACGTTGGCAACATCAATTTCTTGACAATCCAAACATTGACTTCTTTAAAGTTTCAAGTGAGTCATTTTTCAACATCCCTTTAGGAGCAACAACAAAGCAGCTAATACTTATGCCAAGATGGCTATGGATAGAGATTTTGTTTTGACCATGTTAGTAATTGTGGTCCACTTTGGGTTTTTTTTGCAAGAGGATAAGGCTCATTTTGTAAATGTCTATGAGGCATAGTTTTGTACTATTTTTTGTAACCTTTTGATTTTATTTTAATGCAAAATACACACCTTTCAAGGATGACTGCCACATCTTACAGATAGAGTTCATTCCTAGGATTAAGTAGCAAGAGTGAACCAAACAAAGATCGAAGTTGTCTCTGCTGGGAGTGGAGAACAAGTGAAATTAACCAGCATTCCCAAATTCGTTCTTGCCAGGAAGTGCATCAAGTTCTAAATGTTTGGCACACTATATCAGATTCCCCAAACATGAGTATGATATATTTCATTGAGTAGGGAGTAGTTGAAGAAATAGACAATGACACATCATACTTTGAGGAAAGTAAGAACATAGAAGAGTACCAACTACCAACTGATAACAGACCAATGTATGTATTTTCAAGCTGAGCCCATGAGAGATACTCAACGGTATTAACAATAGTTCTAAAAGGGAGTGAGTCTGAGGTAATAAGCGTTCATGCAGGCATGAGTTTGTGGTGCCTCGAGCTACTTTTTTGCAGGCTTTGAGAGGAGCTTCATACGGATTGCCATGTGATGTACAAAAGGAGCCAATACCAAACATGACAATCTCAGATAAAAGAATTTAAAATTTTTCAGATATACTACCTCCTGAGTTATCCATTCTGACTTATCAGAGATGAGAAGCTTTTGAAGCTAATTCTGGAAGGCTATATGAGGTCATTTGGGTATTAAATTCAGCCCATCGACAGGAGGGATGACCTACACCGTTGGAAAAAACCTTGGGAGTTTTGCAGGAAAGAACATCCTACAATGAGTAGTCTTCCAGAGAAGAAGAAGAGGCTTCTCCGGAGTGATTGCGAGGAACTTAGAACCACACAACAAATGATGCCGGAGTTAAACAAACAACAAAAGAAAATCAAATATTATTACGGAAATCGAATAGGAACTTATAACCACACAAAATAGAAAATTGAAGTTACAATAATTGCAACACTAACTCGAATTAGAGTTGGATCAAAGGGGTGGTGGAGGTTGTTGGTGAGGATCTAGAAGGTGCTTCGATGGTGGAAAGAGGCATTAGGCAAGCAAGAACAACAAAGCGGTTGGTGAAATGCGATATATAGGTGTGATTTAATGTGGGAAAAAAATTTGGGTAGCCGGTTTGAAACGATAGTGTAGTGAAATGGGGTATATAGGTGTGATTTAATGTGGGAAAAAAAAAATTGGGTGGCCGGTTTAAAAAATTCAATAAGGGGTGGGATTTTGGGTGGAGATAGGTTTAGATAGTGAGGGATTTCAGTAACCTCAGGATAGAACTCGGGTTAGACTAACTCTGATATTGAATAATATGCTAAGAGTTCTTTTTTATTTAAACGTTTATATGCAAACAACTCTAATCAATTTTATTCTCAATTCTACCATAGCAAGAAAAGAAGAATTTTAAGGTTAGGGTTTGCATTTAGCTTCCATAAAAGGAACAAATAAGCAAGACAAAACTCTTGCCAAGCTCAACCTCAACTGTCTGGAAAACCCTAATATAACCGTTTAATCTCAACTCGGAGTCATTTGAAAGTACAGACGGGTGTGTTAAAAGATGAACGCGAAATCACACCCTCACACGAGGGCGTGGTAATTACCACATTTGGATCAGTTCGGTTTGGTCCAAGCATAGGAAGGACCGGCTAGCCCTCCTAGGCATGAACTTGCCACCTTTTGGGAGTGAGATCCACTCCTAGTTATCCTAGGGTTATATATTTATATTCTTAATATTTTAGGTGCTGTTCTTGGTTGTTTTGTTCGAGCCAGCCGTCGGCGTCTCCAATTTTCTCGTCTAGAGATGTATCCAAGGTTTGAGTGGTGCTCTGATTATATCTTGTTCTCGAGGTGGTGATTATCCTTCCCTCTACTCTTCTCCATCCTTCCAACGTTGCTCCCCGTCGCCTGTCTCTGCTGTAACCTCCCAGAATAGCCTTTTGTGGTTGTTTTTCTGGCAGTTTTCCCACTGTTACGACCTCCATCTTCGTTGTCGCTACTGTCTAGCTCCTTTACCTTCGCTGCTACTGTCCGAATCTCCACCTTCCCTACCATTATTGTTCCATCCCTCCATATTTGCTACCATCGCTGTTCTATCCCCACTTGGTTGTCGCCACTTAGAAACCTCTAACTACTATTTTCAGTGTAGCCAACCCAATTACTTCTATGCTACTGTCCAAGACAACAAGTACCAACTATTTCCCTGCTATACCCGCCCCCTATGCTCCACCTCCCTACCTTACTACTACCTTTCGAAGCCTCTAATAATACCACCACACTACATTCACCCTAGTTGCTTGTCGTGTATTGTGCTTGTTGTTATTTTTTATTTTGGTGTTTGGCTCTAACCTTCTATGTATTATCAGTAATGATATTTACTTTTTTCATTATTGTCAGTTAACTTTGTTATCATTTGATATCAGAGCTAGCCTCACCCTAAGTCATCAATTTAGCATGTCATTACCTGGCGTGATTAACTAATTGAATATTTTGTGAAAATTTTTTGGAGTTCAAAAAATTGATGATGGAGCCAATTGAGTAACTTGGATTCTGGAAACAAATTCTGCCGCTGTGGTAGCAAAACTAAAATTGATTTTGCGGAGATACACAAATCTTCGTCATTGCACAAGCGAAATGTGGCATTAGTTGGAGAATTTAGCAAGCCATTACCTGACAGTTTTGATATTTACTTCTCAAATGATTATGCCTAATCCAGTTATGAACAATTTAAAATATGCGAATGGAAGTACTGGTCAATATATTGTAGGAGTTAGGGCTACAATCTAGCAAGATTAGGCATAGTCTTTGTCACAGCTCTAGTGCTAGGCTTAATTTATTGAAAAATTGGCCAGTGCAGGGACAATTTGAAAGAACTTATATCCGTCATTGGAGTAATGTTTCTTGATGTTGAATTTATGAGCTTTATCAGTTGCTCTACAGTACATCCACGTTCTACTGATTTGTTTGGACATTTTCATGCAACATGCCTTCCAGAATCTTTTCTGTATCAGACCCTTCTTCAGAGCTTTTTCATCTATCAGGCCTTCCTTCAGAGCTTTTTCTGCAGCAGGTCCTCCACTGAAATTCTTCTTGCAGAAGCTCTCCTCCCGAGTCTTTTCCTGCATCAGACTCTCTTCCGGAGTCTTTTCCTGTATTAGGCTCTTCTCGGTTTTTTTTTTTTTTGCAGTAGGTCCTCCACCAGAGTTCTTCTTGCAGCAGACCCTCTTCTGGAGCCTTTTCCTGCATCAGGCTCTCCATAACTTTTTCATGTATTAGGTCCTCCTCCGGAGCTTTTCCTGCGACAAACCCTCTAACAGAATTCTTCTTGCAGCAGGCCTCCTCCGGAGTCTTTTCCTGCAACAAGGCTTACCTTCAGAATCTTTTTTATTTTTTATTTTTTTTGCAGGCCATACTTTGCAGCTTTTTCTGTTGGTTGTCTACTTTCCTGCAAACTTCTCTGCCATATTACCTGTAGAAGTCTTCCGCCTACCTACGGACACTACAAAAACTGCAAACAAAGACAACCTCAATCAACTAAATACTCTTGAGATTGATTTCGAAGTACAAGATGAAAACTTCAAGTTCCCCTTCACAAAAAATCTTCCTCATTCATTGTAACATGTTTCAACTTAAGGGGAGTGTTCGAAGTTGTATTAGGTAATAATTTATTGAAGTTAGAAGTTGTGAATTTCTTAGATTGAAGTTTTTTCCTTTTCTATTTTATGTTGTATGTTGTTTTATTTATCTCCAAGTAATTAATATGAGTTGATTAATTGAAGATATAGGTGTTATATTTTTCTTTTCCTGTTATTTCTTTTGTATTGTCTTTCCTATTCTAGGATTCATGTGAGCTGTTTCATATGAGTATAATTTCGCATTATTCTGAATTTTAGCACTTTCAAATAAGGAATGGATGGTGGACTGCTGTCTGAATTCCATTTAAGGGCCTTTAAAATATAAATAAAATTTTGTGGGCATTTAAATATATATCACACAGTTCTTATGTATCTACACCTAAACATTCAAATTTACATGCATGCCACTTAAATCTATAAAATCACTTAAAAACAACACTATTACTATCCTTTTAAAAATGAAATACACCGTTTCATGCATATGTCTATAACAACAGCGCGTTAATTGTAAATATCGAACTTTGATTGTTAGGTATGTAATAAATACATAAGCTTTGTGTGCTTGTATGTAAATTTCCCAATGTTTAAAGTTGGCAATTCTATCATTTTGCTAATTTTGAGAGACTAATTTTAATTAAACTATCCAAAGCTTTGTTTGAGATTGCGTCCTCTCTTTGTTCTATCGCATTCAAGACTGTCGCCGGAGAAAGCGACGTTTGGCGACCAATTGGGAACGTCTCTGGATGCGGTAGAGTAAAAACACAAAAATATTTTCGTTTCCGGACGGAGCGGAGGAGTTCCGTTGTGGAACGTGACTTTTGAAGGAGCTTTGCTGAAACGGAGTCAAACAGTTGATGGAGAACTTTGAAGTTGAATGAAACTTGAGTGTTTAAGACTTATTTATCCTATTTCTTTCTTTGTAATTAGGTTTATTTATTTGTTTTAAACGAGCAAAAATTGTCTTCTCTTTTTGGTTCTTACATGAAATATGATATTGAAAAGAATAGATTGTATCTTATCTGGATTGAGCTTATTCATATTACTTCAGGTTGGTGCTGTTGAAAGATCACCATCTTTAAGTGAGCTGAATGAAATTCTCCTTGGACAGGTGAGCCAGGCAATTGATATTCTTGAAATTTGAATATGTTTGAAATCTTTAAAAGCCCAAAATATGAATTTCGTTATCCTCAAATTTAATTGTTTGAACAGTTTTTGTTTAATGCCTTCATCACTTTAATACTTGGTCAATTGATTGTTGCCCAAATGTCATATGGGTCTACATTTTCAGGAACACATAAAGCAAGGAGATTTGTCTTTTGTATTTCGTCTACAGGTCAGCTTTGTTATTTTTTGCTTCATTTTTCTTTATGTTATTCTCTTAATTTTCCTGCTTTGTTCTAGACATGAATTTATTTCTTTGGATTATGTTACATCTTTTCAAGCGACTGGTGTGACAACATTTTCAAGTTATTGTTACTGTTTTTTAATGCATTTTTTTGGTTATTTATGCGAATATGCATTTTTCTCTTGGATGTGCTGCCCATTTGTTTGCATCCTTTTTTATTAACATGTTGTTGTTTCTAATATACTAATTGGGGCATCTAAATACATAGCACCAATTCTTATGTATTTACATATCTCATACCTAAACTCTCATATTTTACACACACAACACGCAAAATCTTTTATATCACATAAAATTTAGCACTATTATCACCTTGTAAAAGTGAAATACAGCTTTTCATGCATAGGTTTAAAGCACTAAAGTGCTATGTATGTAAATATGGATGTTTAGGTGTGAGATATGTAAATATATAAGAACTGTATGCTCCATACGTAAATTTCTTTACTAATTTATGACTATTTATTCTTTTAATGTTTAACTCATATCCTTCCAGTTTACTCAATTTATGATTTGATGTGCTTTCTAACCATTCTATATACACATATCCTGATTCTTGTATCATTGGCATCCTGCTTTCTACTTCTTTGACGTTGATATTTCAAGACATTCATCAATAATATGAATCCTAAAACTTCTGCCACTCCAATGCTACGTGGATGTGGCTGAGTGATGCTATAATGGATCAATATAGTGGGAATGTGATGTCAGAATTCATTAGAGGTTCAACACCATAGTTTTGGTTGCAATTTCTCAGTATTGTAATGACGAAATTTCAAAAAACGGGCAGTTAATAATTTTTGTGATTTTGTGATGAAAAACTAAATGCAAAAAAAAAAAAACAAATTTAAGAAGTCATTGTTGCCGGTTTATTTGGCGACAACGTCAAATGTCGTCGATTATGCTTGCAACTAAAGATTTTTAATACTTCACTAAGAAGTAAATTTTTATTTTTAAAGTTGATTATTTTTTAAATGCATTTTATTTATTTATATTTTTTTGCGAAGCATATTTAAAATATATTTACTATATTTTTTATACGTTTTCAATTTTAAGTGATGCTATTAATAAAATTATTGCTTTATAAAATCGAATTTGAGTTAGAGTTAATTAGTTAGTATAATTAGAAGCAATTTTAATAAGTTAATCAAGTTTAAATGGGAAAATAAATATCATAATTAGTTATTTATCGATCAATTATTTATTAAAGTATTTAATTTATTAGAATAATTAGTTAAAGAATAATTAATTGGACAACTTAGAGCATGATCACCTCCAACATAGACCTTTGCATCCTCTAAACTGCTAAACACAAGGAATTTGTACCATACCACAGAGGCAACATTGTATAATATTATTATGATATGGTGTAATTTCCTTGTTTTGATTAGATAAGCAATGTTTTTTTACTCTACATTCTTACTCCTATATAGGGCCTTATTTAAAAATATCTTTAAATTTTGAAAGCACTTTTTTTAAGATGAAAATAAACTTCTGAAATAAAAGTTCAGCTGACGACATCATTGTCGGTTAATTAGCAAATTAGAAGAATTAGTCCGATTTGCTTACTATATTTCATCATATATTAATCTTAATAATCTTTCTATACTTTTTTATTCTAATAAATAAAATATTTGAATATCTTAAATATCAACTAATATCTAAATAACTAAGTCACTTAATTTATCATTAATTGATCGTTTATTGACTTGTTGAATTTTATTTTATTCTAAGAACTGCTTAATAATGCATTAGTTTAACTAAATTTTAATTTTTTAATCAATAATTTAATTAATAGTTCTACTAATTAAATTTAGTTTAACTCAATAACTTAATCAAATAATTAATGAAATATTATAAGTAATTAAAAAATAAAAAAAAACTTTACAGTTGACACTTAATGATTTATTTTTATTAAAATATTAAAAATATTTTGTCACCGGTTTAACCGGTGATATTTCACATTGTTGTTGGTTAAATTAGCACAATGATTATTTTTATTTCTTTTTTTTGTTTTTCATGAAAAAATTATTAATTGCCCAATTTAAAAAATTTTGTCCTATTATGACTAGATGTTTAATAGATTGTTGATTGTTAAATTGGGTTGCCATATTTTTAAGAATCTCAAAATTATGATTAATTTTAAGAAAACTAATTTTTTTAAAAAAAATTAAAATTTTTAAGCTTGAGATTATAATAAAATAAAACTAAATTTTTTTTTTGTAAATTTACAATTTTTAAGCTTGAGGACTGTAATAAAATAAAATTAGGACAAAAGATCGTTATTGAGGGAGGACTAATGGAAAAAGGATCTACCTATGAAGGCAAATTTATTGACAAGAATTACTCTTATTTCTATTTTCATACTCGAGAGAAATTTATGTGATATTATGTCTTTGAAGAAAAGGGAGCTGTGGGTAGGGAATTGACCATTCAGAAGACAGTTTGACAGATGCAAACACAAATGATATAATTCTAGTGAAATTCTTTCTATGACTAAATATAATAAGCTCAATAATAGATAGGTGCTTGACTAGGCATGTTTATTCATGTATGTCATGATAGATTGTTATTTTTTTGCTATAGACTATATAATTCGAATGCATATCTGGGAAATAATTTGGTGTGTAGGATTATAGGTCTGAGAAATAATGTTATCTATAGGATTATATATCTTGATGTTTTTTTTTATGATGATACATAAAACTGTATTTTGGAATTTGGATATGGTGGGATATGTGCTTGAATTAAGAGTGATTTGCTTTGAATGATGAAAGGTGTGGGTTTTTTGGAGATGTGAATGTTCATAAAATTATAAGGGTTCTTTGGCTATAATGAGTGCAGCAAGTCAATGGATTGTATGTCTTGCTGGCTTCAACCATAGGGGCTGCAAGTTATTTCTGTTTTTTCTTTGGGGCATTGCATTTTAGGAAAGCATAAAAGTGTTCAATTTTAGGCTTCAAAAAAATTCATGGATTTAGTTCAAACAGGACACAATCCCCTTTACTTTATTAGATTGATTAGGTTTGCATTATTTCCTTTAATGACATCTTATATGAGTACCAATTTGTCCAGTTGGCATGGGCCTTGAAAGTTGTTGCCAAAGTCTTGGATTTGATTTTCACCTGCACAATGATATGCTGCTTGCCCAAATGTTGAGTCATGCTAATTTAGCATTTAGGGTGAAGAGATGACCACATTACGGGTATGAACATGTAGTCATAGGTGTACATTTTGGTTTAGTGGAACCACTTTAGAGCGTAATATCTTGTGATACATAACTTTCTTACGAGTGTTTAATTAATGCTGCACTTAAGCTTTATGAGATGGTATCGTGTTAATGCTGTACTTAAGCTTTATGAGATGTTGTCGTGTAGTCATAGGTGTACATTTAACAATTAACAATCAACAATCTATGAGATGTTTAATAATGAGCTCTCACATGCATTGCTTTGTTGACGGGCTTGGACTTGCAGATATGGATTACTTTTTCTAACTTGGAAATTAGGCTTCGATGAGTTATGTATTTAATGTTCTTTTAGAAAAAATATGGTAAAACTATTTTGCTTCTTTCAAAGTTTTTCAAGGTCATCACTAGTAGGTATGAACTAATTTGAAATACTTGGCAAAAAACTATAATTTTCAAATTAGTGAATTCAAACACAGTTTGATGGTCCTAATAGAAGGTGTTTTATATACTTTAATATTTAAAGATAGTTATAAAACCTTATATAGTAATTTTTTATAAAATATAGTTTAATTTCTACCTAATCATTATCAAATTACCTTAGATAAAATACATAATGACGACTAAATAGTTTAGATGCAAATAATGTCTAGTTACAATACTTTTAAATCTTGCATGTATTCAAGCACACTAGATTCACATTTTTATAATACTTCAGACTTTTATGCATTTGGTCCCTATATTTTTTGTTTGACCACTTCTAGTTTATGTTTCATATTAACTCATGCTTACTTGTTTTGCTTGCAATATATTGACAAAATACTTGTCTTGCAATATACTGACAAAACATGTCTTATTAATTTTTTTTCAGCAATAGCAACTCCTTTGTAATCAAACAAATTGTAACGATTAAAAATCTTTCTTGGGGGTTTCACATGCAAACCTTATGTAAGATAACAAAAAATTAATACATAGATAAAAATTAATATTCCACGAACTGTTTGTTTAGGGCTTTCTTATAGCTTGGACTTTTTTGATGTAAAATTTATTCCAAATGACAATTTAATGGTCATGATGTCATAGTCTAAAATAAAACCAAATTCTTATGAAATGAAGGAAACTCATATTGTATCCAATTTGAAGAAACTTCAATTACACATGCAATATAAATCACAAATTATGTAGCATAAAATAAATCTATAATTTAGTATGAAGTTATAGATTGAAATAAAACCACACAATTAGGATTCACTCTATAGAATGGAAAACTTAGTTGAATCCAACTTGACAAATATTGATTTACATACATGAAATAAATCATGAAGTATGTATATGTAAAAGAACAATGATAGAACTCATCAAATAGTAGTTCCAAGCCTCAAACTTCTACAAGGTGAAGCTTCCTTTTGAAGTTACGGTCAAGACTTGCACCACTTTAAGATGTCAAATCTAATTAACATAATCAAGTTTGAGAGGAATATGAATTTTTATCATGTCAAAGCTATTTTTTACAAGCCTTGAGATATATTGCTATAATAAAAAATAGGCCCATAATTGGTAGTTTCACAAAATTTAAGAATTTGGTCAAAAAAGTGCAAATATACTCTTCTAGTCTGATGTTAAGCGAAATAGCTAGCTTTCAATTTAAAAAATCTCATTTTATGTAACCAAGGTCAATTTTCAATTGTCTGTTATAGGAGGAAATTGTGAATATAAAGAAACAGGGTAGCTAGAATTTTAGCTTGTCGAAACCAACAGTCATCTCCTACAATCTTGGCTCCTAATCTCTTTTACAATATTGAATCTGGAGCATGAAGAAATAGAGGATCAAACATATGCTAAAGTAGAAGCGTTTTCTAAATTAGCTATCTGATGAATAGTAGGAAACTACAATCTGGATTGCAATTGGGAGCTTGTGACTGAGTTAAACAAACAATAGGAATTAAACTATGTTGGCTGAGTTTTAAAAATTAACCATTCTTAAATAATAGGCTTATTAAAAACAAAAATAAAATTAAATGTACAACATTTTAACTAAAGCAAATCAATACTCAAATAATAACGTGTTTGCACATAATTTGCAATTTTAATCATCACAGGATTTAGATTTGTGCATGCAAGACTTAATCTCAAGGTCAATTAGTAGACTAACAAAGAAAATGTAATTTGGAAATAGCCTCTTTAGTTATAATATTAGTTTCAATATAATTATTGAGTAGTTATGAGTAATATTCCTTTGTTTGATGGGAGGCATAAAGTTGAAATATCTTTGATTGTCTATATGAACTAAAATAGGACTTCAAATGGTGATGTCTCTAATTGTTGAAGAATTGAATCTACCAAAATAAAATTGATGACCGTCTCTATATTAGAGCAAGCGCATTATTGATCTAATTGATTATAGTGTGTTTTAATATTTTCGCAGCTTTGAATTATTTAAGATAAAAAGGCCAGAATGTGGTCTCCTGACGTGGGGGGCTATTTTAGTCCTAAATTATATGTTTGATTTAGTTTTTGGAATTTTAAGATGGGAGCCAAAATAGTCCTATGGCTAAAAGTATAGAAATTAAAACGGTTGCTGTAAAAAAAAATGAGGGTATTTAGAAATTTTTCTCTTGAAATTGTTGCAAAATCTAAATCAATCCTTTCAGGTTTGGGATATTGAGTAAGAAATTTATTAATAATAACTGTCTAAATTTAAATGAATTTTTTTAAGTTTGGGAATGTATTGGTTGATTGCATCCTAAACAAGGTAAGTGAAAATTAAATTTTGTAAAAAATTTTAAGAAAGAAATTCTTAAATTAATCTCAATTTTGACATGATAAGTTGACTTTTAACTTTAATTTTCATTACTTTTATAGGATGACCATTTTGATTCTTGTTTTAAGAGCTAAAGAATTAAATAAGACCTTTTATATAGTTTGAGACTCACGTAATACCCTATAAATCGATGGGGTCTATTTTTGTGATTTTCTCAAACTCTTAACTAAAAAGTGTTTTTCTTAAGATTTTTTGTTATATATATATATATTGATTTCATTCAATTTCTTAGATAAATAATTAAGCATAATTTGAACTATTTTTTACCAAAGATGATAAATGATGTTGCCCTAATGTTTTAAAATGTGTAAGATACTGTGGTTGTCTTTCTATTTAAACTATTGCACTTCTGTATGGTATTTTATGAAAAATCTTCTAAACTCGGCTTAATGCTCATTAAATACACCACAATACTATCATCATGTGTGGTCAAAAGAAATTACAATTTATGAATATTTCTTACAGGAGAAATATTTGTGAAAAAACCTACAATTATAGTATACTTCTACATTTAATTTTGCTAAATTTGAATATGTATCAAAATAATTACAGTAATGTACGTGAATCTACTCTAGAGTACATGTTCGCATAACTATACAAAATTTAATAAGTGTCAAACTTCAAGTCAAAACTTAAATTAAATATGAAAGCGGATTTGAATCTAAACTTCGGTTTTGAAATTTAGGGTATCCCTGAAGTTTAACCTGAGCAATCCTATATATTGAAGTTGTTAAATTCGTAGAACATGTTCATAGTATAATTCTTATGAAACTATCTATTGATATTATCCTATGCATGCTAATGTACATGAAGCTACCAAAGACTTTTTTAGTGATATTTCCCTTTAAGGAAGTCCTAAAATTAAAACTTGATCTATTTGGCTAATTTCAACAAATAGGAGTAGCTTCTTCAAAGAAGGTTTTCATCAATATGAAATATGCACTATATATTTTTTGTTAGTAATTTAGGAAATTTAATAAATGTAAATTTAAAGTTTCTTTTCCCGTCTTTCTTTTTTGTAGAGTCACTTATAGTTTATTTTTCAGAAATCATTATTCTGACATTCAACGTATCTCATTGTACTATCCATCTATCAGATGATAATTTGCATTAGCTGCTAAATGGAAGTTAGCTTTCTTACATGTTGGCAAAAGATACATGTAATTTAAATTCATCAACTTTAATAAATTTATTATCTTTTTGCACTTTTCTTGTTATGTTGGAGAAACCTGACAAAATGTTTCTCTAAAAAATTTTTATGGTTACTTTTGACCTGAAAAAGACCTGCAGGTAAGTTTTTAATCTCCTGTTTGCACTTCTCAGTTTAATATTTTCTATATTTCTCAGGTGGCTGATGACTCAAGTTTGTATGGATGTTGTGTTTTAGTTGAAGAGATTGTGCAGAAACCTTCAGGATTGATTTCAATTCTTTCAGAAGAAAAGCCCTCGTTTTCATCTTTAAGCCGCCACATCATCACGACAGGCAGATGCTATTGCATTTTGTCAAGACTTCCATTTTTTGATCTACACTTTGGCATATTGAGGAGGTAAGTTGCCAGTAGTTAGTCTTTGTGAATGCAATTTCTAATAATTTTTTCTTGCAAATGGCAAATAGTAATTATTGTTTGTTTATGTAACTAAAAAATATGCATTTTATGAACATTAAAGGACTGTTTGGGATCGCTTTTCTTTTTTATTTATTTATTTTTTTTTCTATACGTTTTGTTTTGAAACAAAACATTTTTTATTATTTCATTAAGGTATAGCTGTTTTTAAGAATATTCAAAAAGTCTAAATATTGTTTTAAGTATTTTTAAAAGATGTTAATTTATTTTTAGAAATAAAAAAGTTATAATATTTAAAAAAACAATAGACAAGCATGTATAAAAAAAACGAAAAAAATGATCCAGAACAAGCCGTAAATTGCAGAAAATTTTCTTCTCTCTATGCCATGTCTCAGTAGTTCATACAAATGCATGCTGAACTTCGAATTGTAATGACACAAATTCTTCATTCGTCTCCATACTACTAAAAAAGGTGCACAGATAGTGAGTCGGATAGGGAAGAAGCAAGTGAAGCTTAACAAATTTATGCTACTTCGATATTTTCTGCAATTGCATTAATTGCAGAATTGATATGGCAGCCATATGTGACAGTAATTTTAGATAGTTCATATTATTGAAGTTTCATGACTATGCACCTTTATGAGATGTATTCCCGAAATATTATTATAAAGGCACGTGTTGGTCTTTTGTATAATTCTGAGATTTCACCGGAAAGTTTGGTTTGACACAAATATTTTTAAAGGCATGCTTCAAGTGCACAGCAAAGTGAAGCGGGCGTCTCTCTCTTCGCTTAACTGAAGCGTACTTTGAAGCATTGAAGCAAAGCAGTCAATCTGGTTCACAATTTAGTGAGAGGGAATAAAGGGCCAATAAATTAATTTAGCTTGTTTTATAAAACTTGAGACTTTATTAGTTTATTTATGCTTTAATATTTAGATTATGTTTTGAGTTATATTTTTTTTTGCAATTTTAATGTTTTTAGTTATTACAATGAACGTTTAGAAATTGTCCGAAATTTTAATTTGTAGATTCATCCTTATTTTTTACCTTTAAGTGTGGACTTGCACCACATTCATTTCTATTTTATATAGGCTTTAATTCATACTTTATATTTTATAATTGTTAATGAAAGTATTTATACATTAATAGCTTTATATAACCAATTAGTACTTTAGTTAATAAAAGCGCCGCTTCATCCTGTGTTTTATGCTTTTAAGAAAAATAAAGCCTTTTGCATCGCATTGTGCTTTGGACGTTAATAACACTGGTTTGACATTGTATCCTTGGAGTTTGGGTGTATGTAAATTGACAAGCAATCATTTAATTATATTTGAAATTTATACATCTACTACTATATGAATAATAGTGACACGGGAGCTTTACAAAAAAAGTTTCGGCTACAGTACCGTGGGAGATGGGTCGAAATAATCTCATTTTCCCTTTTTATGTTTTCTTGTTTCTTAACCTTCATTTCTTTTTAGTCCTTTCCTATCTATATGTTGTATTAGTGTTTAAAAGTCAGATTTTGGCTCAGATTTCTGTCAAGACAGCAGCTGTCGTTTGCTTTCGCCCTTCGAGGATTGTATCCGAGGGATTGGGTGGTGCTCCAGCTGCATTTCTCTCTTGAGATGGTGTTTTTCTACACAATTTTCTTTCGTATCTTCTCCACGACTCTCTCGACCATCCTCCATTGCTGCAGCCCCTCGAACAGTTCCTTGTAGCTGTCTTCCTCTGTAGTTCTCCACCTTCCAGCAACCATCCTTCCTTTGACCTTGCTGCTGCCTCTAGAAACGCCTTCACCCTTCCAACTTGCTGTAGCCATCCAGGACCCTCGCTCCTCCCATTTCACCTTACTGTCGGCATTCCAAATCGCCCGCACTATTGT